GACACACAATTAATACATGCACATCCTACTTAAATAGCAATCTTGCTAAAAGCTGAATAAGAACAATATACACAAAATTCCAAAATATTGCAAAGGCAAAGCAATACAGTTTTCTATTTAGCAAAGAAACAAGAGAACTTTTCTTATTAGGAGGTCAGAGGTAACCATGACCTCCTAGCAGGGGTGACTAGAATTAGTGATTTAAAAAAGGTTACATTCAATAAAGTGGTTCATCTATAACATTTACAATATTTCACTGAGTGCTGGTCTTTCAAACCGGCCTATAATAGTTCATGTTACCACAATTGTCCTTTTAATAATAAAACCTACTCAGTTCTTCCAGAGAATGTTTGAAATATTAATATACATCAAATTTTAGCACCGTCTTAAATTGGACTTTATCCCACAGCTTAGCATTACTGATTTATCTTGAACAAAGTCTCACCCACTCCCTGGGGACATCCCATGGGCATCTGGTTGTCACTTCTTCCAATGGACTGTCCAGCATTGTTCTAGTGGTACCAGTGGTTCAATAGTTTCCTTTTGCCACCCAGATAGGTCAGGTATATCAATTCCAAGGGTTGAACAGAAAGACTCGATATCTTCTAGAAAGCGTAAAGTAGCAGTGCAGCCTTCTTGCCTCGCTATATGACAGGAGGTGAATACCCATCTATAAACTATATTTGCCGCCCTGAGAGTATCCAAAAGTGGTCTTAGAGCTCTTCGCCTCTGCAATGTTTCCCATGCCAGGCCAGGAAAGATTGAGAGATTAACCCCATCAGAATCAATAGATGGTACATTCTGGAGTTTTACACATTACCTCTTTTTTGTCTTCATAATAGTGAAAATTACGTATAACATGGCGTGGGGTTTCATTCGGTTATCTTTCTTGGGCGTAATGCACTATGGACACGATCAAACTTAATAGGCGATACAGCTGGTCTGTCCACTATTGAGTTAAATATACCTCTTACTGATTCCTCAAGGTCAACATCAAATATAGCTTCTGCCAGTCCTCAGATCCGCAAGTTGTTCCTTCTATTGCAGTTCTCAAGGTCTTCTAACCTATAAGAGGTAGTTCAATGCTGTATAGCCAATTTCTTATATCCTTCTTGTAATTCACTAATCACTTTATCGTAGATATTTATTCTAGTTTCACTTTCTTCTACCCTCATTAGAAAATGTGAGAGATCTACCCACACATTAGATAACTCTTGTTTTAAAGTGTTATCCAGCCCTTGTAACATATTCTCTAGGTCTGCTTTAGCTGGTAAATCTTGTATGTGTCCCAGATTCTCTGCTATAGATAAACTTTCCACTTGCTCCTCTCTAGGAGTATGCTGTACTCGACTTAAATTACTAGGGGTCCCTGGAGAGTCCTGCATTTGCAGGGGAGATTTACCTCTAGCATTCCCTGGCAGGATGCAGATCTGGCAGGGCTGCGCTGTGCCTCCATGTCAGCAGCCATAAAGCATCTCAAGGTGCCAGCAGCCAAACCTCCGGCTCACCACACTCGCTGCCCTCTCCTGCCCATACTCCACGAGTATCAGATGAGTCTCTGATAGCCCTCTCCACGCTACACGGCTCTGGAAAAACCAGCACTCTGCTCACTCCCACCCATCCAGCGTCATGCGCAGCTACACCCCCTCTCGGAAACCCAGATTTTTTGTGCTGCAGAAGACCGTCTTTTCCTTTTCATCTGCTTGTTCCATAATGTGTATAGTAAAAAATAAAAAAAACACAAAGTTGAAAGAAAAAGTATTTTTTCAAACTACTTTGCTATATTTTTCAAAAAAACACAAGACGAATTTTAAAATAAACTTTGCACTTTTTATCAACAGGAACACTATTTGATTTAAAAGTAATTCAAACTAAAAAAAAGTGTATTTTTTTTGTTTGGATACATTTTTTATATAGATTTTGTAAATATTGTTTCATGACAAAATTGCCAGCAAAAAGCCTTGTTTGTAATGAAAACCCCCCCCCATATACTCGTATGGGTATATGTGTATCTTAAAACGGAAGTAAACCACTGTGTGACAGGTGGGTTTTTTTCCCTAATGTGCAAGCATGCGCAATATATTTACACATTAGGGCACACTTACCTTACAAAAGTACTCTTCTCCAGAGCTGTCGGATTGATGTTCGGTCTCCCACTCTTTCCCCTGCCGTTGCCATATCCATCGCTGACACTTCAACTTTAAGTAATGACAAAGTTATTGCTGAACAAATGGGCCTATAGCTGAAATGTAAAAATTGCTCTGCTCCATAAAAGGTATACAGCTGTGAGAGCTGGTTAACCTGTTAATTATATTATTATTTTTTTCCTAGGGAATCTTCACTGGTGTTTTTGCAGATTCACCGTTTCGAGCTTGTGGAAGAACTAGAAGAATATATTGACACTATTCTTGATCAAGCAAGACAAAAAGATTTGCTGACAAAAGATGATTTGGAGGACGTCGCCTTTGGGGCGGGGCCCAGAAATCGAGTCAGAAGATTATTGGATCTTATTGACTGCCTTGGAGAAGAAAATGCATCAGTCTTCTGTAATCTCTTCCTGGGTATTAAAAACTTAAAAGAAAACTCTAAAAAATATATGGTCTCGGAAAATGGTAAGTACTTATACTATTTTTTTATATGTTGTATCAAAGTCTGGCCACGCATGTTGCCATGTATTATCTACTTAAAACTGCTTAAAACCCAACTCTGTGCAACATATTGTAATATTAGGATTGACCTTTACCAGGTTTTAAAAATAAAAAACAGCGGGGGCGTGGCCAGCCAGCGACCAAGATGGAGGCTTAGTCCTGGAGCTCCGTGAACCCACAGTCTCAAGGGACCTACACAGCGACTAGCGGGATCGTACCGTCGCTCCACCTACCTACTACACGCTTGTGGAGTCTCCGGTTATGGCCCGCAAATGCAGGAACGGCTCCTGTCCTCAGAAAATGACGGACTTCTTCCGCCTTCCCAGGCATCGGCCCTCGCGAGATGGCGGTGGTGGCGGAGGTAACGGCTCCTCTCCCTCTAATCCTATATCCCAGAGCTCTAGGAGCTCGGAGACTTCTCCCCGACCTACCCAGGGAACTGGGCGGGTGGCTCCTCCGACTCATACCCCACCAGGGGAGCCTAGGCCGAGGTCTCCTGTTACTTCCTCCACACGGAGCCCTGCCAAATCGAGGCACCGGCTTTCGAGCCTAAGGGACGAGGAGAGCCTTTCCCCCCCAGCCTTAGATGATACTAGGGAGCTCTTTGCACCAATTGAGAACTACCCTATGGCTAATCATCCCCTCTCTGACACCACACTCAAGGACATGCTGGTGTCGCTGCGGACCTCGCTGAACGCAGACATGCAATCTCTAGTTCAGCAATTCAAAACTGACCTGCAGGAGGTGGGCTACCGGGTCTCCCACATAGAAAACAAGATGGGGGACTTTGCGGACACTTTCAATGAGCTGGTGGACTCCCACAACAAGAGAGAGGACGATATCACCTGGCTAAAATCAAAGGTGGTGGACTTAGAGGACAGGTCCCGCCGCAACAACATTAAAATACGGGGCATGCCGGAAACCGTACGTCCAGAAGGCCCTTCCACCTTTGTTCAAAGCTTCATTGCCACCGTCCTTCCTGACATTCCATAAGCAGAATTGATTATTGACCGTATCCACTGGCTGTCCAAGCCATCCCACCTGTCTGACAACGTGCCGCGAGATACCCTGCTTCGCATCCATTTCTTCCATGTGCGGGAAATGTTACTCAAGGCATTGCACAATACCGCAGCAGTATCCTCCCAATATGCCACCCTACAGGTGTTCGCGGATCTCTCCCAACACACCCTACAACTGCGTAGAACATTGGGACCGGTCACAAGAGCCCTAAGAGCCACCATCATCCTATACCGGTGGGGCTTTCCAACCAAACTCTTGATCTCCAAAGACAACAGTCTCCACATGGTGTCTACCTTAGAGCAAGGCCTTGCTCTCTTACTACAATGGAAGATTACCCCATCTCCAGAGGACCACCCGACAACTGCTCGCAAGAGCACATCCGATTGGCAAGTGGTGTTCCTTAAATGGAGACCGTAACTCCGCCACTGATCCGGCTCGGCCCTCGAAGAGTGAGCTGTTCTGACCTAGATGTCGCCCTTGGGAGCTGTATGGCCACCTTGGTACTAACACCCCAATAGAATGGACAGTTGCGTTAACTGCTTCTTTCCCCTATGCGGGACTTGTTTTTTTACTAGACTTGATCTTTGTTGTTCTTTTCTCCTGTTTTTTCCCAGCCCTTGCCCTTCCCCCTTACTCCCGTTCTACAGAGGTATCCGGTTCAGAGTGGTGCAAGGTTGAACTACCAAACGACCTACGTCCAGAGGAGTGCAGTGAAGAGGCTGATGGGCAATCTCTCCCCCCATTTCGCCTCAGCGCGCCTGAGTGATTACCAAACGCTTACCTACGCACACGACCCCTTGTACGAGAATGGCTGTCAAATTCCTCTCTATTAACGCCAAAGGCCTAAACCATCCTGCTAAGCGGCACTCGCTGTGGCTAGAAGCCATTCAACACAAAGCGGATGTGGTTTGCGTCCAGGAGACCCACTTCCAGGACAACAAGGCCCCACACTGCTCCCATAGGAGCTTCTCGACGGTCATCTCGGCCACTTCCCCTTCTAAATCCGGAGGCGTGTTGGTGGCCATTGGGAACTCTATATCGTTCCAACAACTTGAAACACAAATGGACTCGCTGGGTCGTTACATTATACTGGTGTGCACTATTGAGTCCAAGCCCTATACCAGTGATGGCGAATGTTTTTGAACCCAAAAGTGCCCAAACTGCGACGCGCATGCACACATTGCACATGTAATGAAACACACACATTAAAACACACACATTAAAACACGCACATCAAAACACACATTAAAAAAAATATTTTTTATCTTTTTTTTTTAACTTGGGGGAGGGGGGTGTCGTTCGGGAGATAGATATAGGTCTAAACAGCACCCTGATATTTCCTTTTTAAAATAGAAAAAGAAATTGAGGGCACAAAGTCCTCAATCTCTTTTTTTGCAGCCTCTGTTCTAAATGAATGGAAAGCACAGAGGCTTCCCATTCATTAAGAAAATATTTACTATCAAGCAGTTTCTGAATGGGGAGGAGCCTCTGTACTGAGTGCTTCTCCCCATTGGGAAATTCATGAATGAACAAGAAGTGATGTAAATCACGTTCTGTTCATTCATAACTGGGGACACATAGTACTATGTGTCCCCAGTTATTTACAAACACTGGAGTGATCAGCTGATATGTACCGATCCTCTGCCACTCGGCCACAAACAAAGGGGGGCTCAGCTTCTCCTCTGAATCACAGTTGCTTTCCTGGGCAGAGGCAGCGGGGGATCCGAGCAGAAGTGAGGAAGGCACTGCTGCCGGGAAGGGGGGGGAGTCGGAGGACGGAGCCGTTGTCACAGCACCATGTGCGGTGAGGAGAGAGAGAGACGCTGGCTGTCAGATCCAGGCCGAGCGGCTCTCTCTCCTCACCGCTCGGCGTGCTGCTGATGATAGCGGCTCCGACCCCCAGGTTTAAAGATGGCCGACGCGATTCGCAGTATGGCAAAACAAGTTCAAAAAGGGGCGCTAATAGTTTGTGGAGACTTCAACATGGTTCCGGACAGATCCATGGACTCATCTTCTTCTCCACCTAAGAGGAGACTGCCTTCTCTCCAACCTGTCTTCACCACTCATGGCCTTTATGATGTTTGGCGGTGTCAACACGCAAGTGAACGGAACTACACTTTCTTCTCATCCCCACACAACTCCAGGATAGACATGTTCCTGGTAGACTGCACGCTGTTGCCCTGGATACGAGACACTTCCATACACGACATAACCTGGACCGACCATACCCCGGTTACGATGTCCATAACCTCACAGCACCCTCCCTCCACAGCACACTTTTATCTGGCGTAATAATGTGTTTCTTTTGCAGCAAGCTGAATCTGTTAAGCTGATACGTGAAAAGTTAAAAGAGTTTTTTGATTTAAATGCGTCTTCCGTTGAAGACCCTTTTGTCTTGTGGAATGCACACAAGGCGTATATTAGGGGTTTACTGATACAGCAAACTGCTAGATTCAAGAGGCAGAGGTCACAGACACTTGACCACTTAACTTCAGAGATCCGCAAGCTTGAGGATGTAAACAAAGTACAGCCGAGTTATGCTATCGCTTCGGCCCTTTCCCAACTCAGGTTTGACCTTAGGAAACTCTTAATGGAGCAACATTGTAAACAGACCATGAACCTCAAATCTAACTTCTATATTAGCGGCAATAAAGCCAGTAAAATCCTGGCTTCTCGTTTAAAGGCTCAGCGAGCCTGCACCAAAATTCCCTACTTGATCCACCCTACCACTAAACATAAAATATACCACCCCCAGGAAATAGCTGAATCCTTCTGTACTTACTACAGATCCCTATATAATTTGTGGGAGGATGAGTCGACTCGACATCCCTCGCGCCCAGACATAGATAGATTCCTCCACAAACTTAACCTACCTTCCTTAACGGCTTCTCAACTGCAACTTTCAACCATTTCTAGATAAGTTCCTGAAAGAATTGCAATCTCTGGGGAAGGGTTTTATGTCCTGGATGGCCAGATTGGCTGCCTTTAAGATGCTCCTCCTCCCCAAACTTTTGTACCTATTTAGGACTATAATTATCACTATCCGTAATTGGTACTTTAAGGTGCTTCACTCCGCCTTTTCACAATTCCTCTGGCAGAAAAAGAAACCCAGGTGCTCACGCACTTCCCTAACCAAAAGCCCTAGGGTGGGAGGCACTGGGTATCCTGACTTCAAGGATTACCACCTGGCAGCTGTACTCTCCCAGCTCCGATTTTGGATCAACCCCACGGGGTTAAACCGTGGCCCTCTATAGAGACTAAGCCAGCTAGGGGGGCCCCATTGGGTCCCTTAGTGCTCCTCCATACATCATCCTCCACTCCTGTGACACAATACTCACCTCCCATCCGAGCTACGATACAAGCCGGGCGCTTATCTATGCTCCATCTGACCCCCTCGGACCGGTTGGTCACTCCTCCGATTCCTATTTCCACCCTGGCCCTAATTATTCTGGACTTTCCTCACACATATTGGTCGGGACGGGGGGTTTGCTGGCTCCATGATCTGATCCACGACCTCAAAATACGACCTTTCCCGCACTTACTCTCCAAATACAACCTTAGTACCAGAGATCACTATACTTACCTGCAAATTGCCCACATGCTCCCCTCTCTTTTCGTGGGGTGGCCCAGGGTGCCGGAGCAGATCTGGTGATACCTATCTTCCACTACATTATGCAAGGGGGGCATATCACTGATATACAACTTCCTGCAAAGGAAAAATACCTTTACTAAACTACCGGCCTTTGTTGCATGGGAGAGGGAACTGGAGGTGTCTTTCTCTCCCGAGCAATGGTCAACTGCCTGTAACTTTATTCATTTAGCCACCAAAAATGCTGACTTATGGGAATTGTTCCATAAAATATCCCTGCGGTGGTACCTTATGCCGTATCGATTATCGAAATTCTCCCCGGCAGGCTCGGCGCTGTGCTGGAGACAGTGCGGGCAGACTGGTACGCTTTTACACATATTATGGACCTGTAAATCATTGAAGAGCTTTTGGAATTGCATCTTTAGGAAGATTTCATCTATGACAGGATGCTTGACTGACCCTGATCCAGCATTGGGACTTTTGCTCCTGGGCTGTCCAGCTCAGCATTGTTAGGCATTGGAGAAGCCCGCAAAGTGTCTCTGTGAGCGAAACACATCAAACCCTGAAATTACACTACGAATTTAAGAGGCTCTATGCGCTCAAAAGCGGTACGCTGATATCGTTCCACAGAAAATGGAAAATGTGGACACCATAGGGTGATAGTGTTGATAAGATTTACCTTTACCTCTCCCTTCCCAGACCCCCTTCCTTTACCTGTTCTCTTATAGTACAGTAGCCCACTAAATGCTTCTTACCACTAAAGTGTTAATTGAGAGACATACTGATGAACGTTGGTCAGGCATGTGCAAGGGCTCTATTGTACTGAAGTGTTTATGTCTTGTTGACTTCTAACTGTTTTCTATGCATTGAATGTGCATGTTATACTTTGAAAAACCCACTAAAAATCTATTTTGGAAAAAATAAATAAAAACAGCTTAGGCTGCACTACCTTAAATTAGGGGAGTGTCCCTAACAATACTTCTTCTTCCCCACAAGATGTCTTTGGTCTCCTGGGTCTTAAGACTGACGAGATAAGAGATACTGTGAGTGAAGGGTGTCACAAGCCTGCCTTCTGAAGGGGTGTCACGATGGCCTCCATTCACTTCTGAAGGGGCGTCACCATGGATGTTGCCCTCCATTTACAGTATAATAATACAGAGAGTGGCACTGCATCATCCAGGAAACCCCCCACCAGAGCAAAAGAAGAAAAAGACCCTGAGCATCACCTGTCTGGGCTGATGACATTGAAAAGAGGTATAAAAAAGAAAAGCAAA